CTCTATATTTATTGAACGTCCAATTCAATAGCGTCTTTTCTAATCTATCGAGTTCATTAATAAATCAAATGGTTCTTGCTCTCTGCACGGCATAAATTCTACACGCAAGGGGACACGCAAAAATTTGGTAATTATTTATATAAATTTGGAAATTAATACATAATATCCAAATTTTTGCTATATGCGTTGTTAACCAACAATGCAGCTCTATTAACAAATAACCATATAAGGTATATTATATACATGAAATAAATAATGATACGTACGTACGTACGTACATACAAAATTAGGTAATGCAATAATAATAAATAAGTAAAAAAAAAAAAGTAAAATAAATGTATTACTATAATAAAAATGGTCAATTAAAAATAGCACAAAAATCAATGGGCTAAAATGTCATGCGATATTTGACATTTGTGATAGAGTCATGTGGACAGATTTGTGGACAGATTTTAGGCACAAGGCGTGCACGTCTTAGAATCCTAAGTTCGTGTATGCATTTGGGGGAGACGTGCGCTTATAAAATGATATAGAATGAAGGTGCTTCCTATGAAATTTTATTGTAGCTCTACTTAACTCACTATTTCATATAAAAAGAAACCAGTTTGAAATATAAAATTTTATAATGCTAAATAATAAACCGTATTTGACGATTCGAATTGAAATTACTCAATTCTTTTCGTTTTCTTTTTTTTTTTTATTAAAATAAAATGCAGGATACATCGTAATAAAACATGATTAATAGTTAACTTTAATAATATATGTTAGGTATAAAATGTTTCTGTTTACCCACTTTCGGTAACCACCTGCTCTTGCATGATGGTAACCACTTGCTCTTGCATGATGGTATCATTACCATCTTGATGCTTAATTTTTGATAATCTTTGTAAACGGTTCACACCTTGAACAAGACGAACAGCTCTTTTAAAAGCATCTTTTGGTGAAAGATTTTTTCGGACAGTATCGAGAAGATTTACATCTGCCGCAGACATGAACCAATTATGCTGAAGAGCTTCTTTTACAGTGATTCTTTTTAGTGGGTCATAACATAATAATTTGTCAACCAAATCTTTTGCTATTGTATTAATAAAGATATAAGATATGAAATTATAAGATACATTATAAATTTAATAATGTCAGGTTAAAGAATATAAAACGCGTACCATCGTCAGATATATCACACCAATCTTCTTCTTCATAATCATATTTTCCAGCCATGATGGATTGAAGTAACTGGGCTTGATTTTCCCCATAAAATGGTGGATATCCACATAACATAGTATAAGTGATAACACCAACACTCCAAAGATCTACTGGCTTATTATAACCTTTTTGCAAAAGTACTTCTGGAGCCACATAACTATATAACGTTAAAAAAGAGACAAATTATCTTTATTATTTATAATTTTTGTGTTGTTTGTAATGTTTATGATAATAAAATTGATCGTAAAATTGACATACCCTGGAGTACCACAAGCCGTCATCAATACATCATCACTTTTCGTTAAAATCTTGGAAAGTCCAAAATCTGTAATCATCAGTATTGAATCCTCTAGTTTATCCTTGAAAAGAAGATTTTCTGGCTTTAGATCTCTATGTACTATCTAAATAAAACAAAGATCGCTTAATATATGTATTATATGGAGCATTCAATTGACTTAATTGATTAACCTTTTTCGTAAATATAAAAAATAATATCTTACACCATTCTCGTGTAAATATTCTACTCCTTTTAATATTTGTCGCACCAGACTGGCAGCATCTTTTTCCGTATAAGATCCTTTCAATAAAAGTTGCTGAAATAATTCACCACCTCTTGCAAGATCGGTTACAATATAAACCCCATCTTTCGTTTCATATAGATCATGTAGTCTTACAAGGTTCTCATGCTGAATTTTTTTGAGAATATTAAGCTCGGTAGTAAGCATGGTCTCTTTTCCTTCTGTAAAATATTTAATAATTTCGTTAGCATATATATACAACATTAAATATATGCTATGTTCAAACATTCGAATAATTCATACGAGCCTTACTTTTTATTACTTTCCTTGAGATAATTTTCAATGCATAACTTTCTCCTGTTGCTTTATCCGTACATTCTTTTACAATGGCAAAGGAGCCAACACCAAGAACATTCTTTGAAATTTTGTACTGTTTTTCAAGTTCTGGTGGATATGGACTTGCACCATTTTTTTTAAGGAGTCCGAATATCTTAAGCATTATATAGATTACAGTAATAAATTATAGTGACAGAAATTCTGAAATTTGAAAATTGAATGAGAATTTAATGTATAAAAAATGTATAAATTTTGTTGAATTCGTTCTACGTATATATTTATGAAATTTGGAAAAAAAAAATAAAATAAACTGAATAAATAAAAAAAAACGGCAGCCTTTTTTTTTATGGTAAATCATCTGCGTCACACAACATAATTTATATTCGGACAATTCACACCTAACGCTAATGAAATTGTGAACCCAATCATTAGCCTTTTATCATTGTGCATATTGGTGTAAAAAAAGTATTATTATGTATTATTCACAGTTTCATCTTTAACGTTAATATTAAATTTTTGTTAAAATTTAACGTTAATATTTTTAGTTATAATCATGCAGTTAAAAGTAATATTTAATGCATAATAACTTGTTTTTTTCAAACTGATATGCATTAAAATGCCGAATTTAAATTTAACTAACCATATGTAGTGATTCAGTAACTCGGGCGTTAATCATACTTGTTGACTTTGGCCTATATCATGCACCCCATTTTTGTCCATTTTATTAATTTTTTCATATGACAATTTACGGCTATCGTGATTTTATATATCGGCATCCACATACGTATCAACTTACTACATATGTAACTTTTGAAACGTAAATTTGACCTCCACTCCAAAAACCTAAAACACCAGTCAAATTCTTATCAATAATTCTTAAAATTCTTTTTCAGTTTTTTAGAAAGTAAAATTGTCCAATTTCGTCCAGTTTGATAATATTATTACGGAGTACTTGTGGAATAATCATTTTACTATCGTTATGATGTTAAAATCGATGCTGAAAATTTGGGATCTTGATTTGAAAATATAAACTCTACTAAAATTCTTTTATCACAAACTTTAACCCTAAACCCTAACCCAAATTTAAAAAATACTCCTTATCTGATTCCCGATATTTACTAGTTTGTTTCTTTAACATTTTTTATTGTAAAGTCATATGGACGTACCTATATGACTTTACAATAAGAAATTATCAATATGACTTTACAATAAGAAATTTTCAAAATAAAAACTAGTTACACGAATACGTCGTAATGAGTTTGCGGTTCTTTTTTCGTGTACATACATACGTACAAGATCATATGGGTTGGTACACAGCAAAACCATGCTTTGAGACGAATTTCTTATTAGGAGATATCAACGATTGATCATTTTGATGCAATATTTGATATATATAGTTACCAAAAACTGCGCACGATATTGTAATATGTTAATGTGCAATAAAAATTTTACCATGAATAAATCATGCACTTTGGAATATAACTCAATAAAAATCTCAATTTTGGTTAAAAACTTTCAAAGCATGGTTTTGCTGTGTACCAACCCATATAGTATCGATATGGTATTGCGCTATATATAGTATTGTCAATGATTAGACATACGTACAGTACATACGTACATCGTGTGACCAAGTTTATCATTGACATGTCTCGGCCTCGGCCTTAGCGTAAGGTAACAATTTTCCAAAAATATCAAGATTTACCACATTACATAATATCTTGAATGGCTTTGTGCGAATAGATAAGCGTTTGATTACGTAGAAGCGACGCAAAGATTTGCAAATATCCAATCAAATTTCGTCAAACCAATTATTTTTTAGAACGATTGAGAGTAAGGAACATGCTGCTTAGAAAGAAATTGGTATTTCATTTTTCAGAGAAATTAAATAACTTTCTTTTCTGTGACCTCAAACCCGATAAATGTTATTCAGAATAGATCTATTAACAAAAAGTAAGAAACGTGGACATGGCTTGCGAATTGATTAAAAAGGGTGTGATCAAGTGACCCTGTATTAGTCCCCTTACAATGAAGAACTGACCGTCAACAATTATACATAATAAATCTAATCAATTGGCATTTTTTACTTTCCATTTCATAAATTGGGTATCAGATTATTGTAAAGTAACAATAGGTGAGGATATCAACTTCCTTGAAATTTTCATCAAAAAATAAAAAAAGTAAAATAAATGGGAAACTATGTACACAGATAAGAACATTCTTCAAAAAAATGAAAGGAAGCAATAATTGAATAGAGGTTAGATACCAATTTTCGAAACTTCATCACAAGAAAATAACGATAAAAATATTCAAGATTATATTGCAAGAATATATTTAATACATGTTTTAAACAGCAAAGTTTTAACGATATTATTTTTTTCCTACAGAAACAGACATTTAGGAAATTCTGTCTAATAATCAGATGCAACGGAAGATTTCTATATTTATAAAGAATAAGTTCCTTATGGTAATCTAATTTAATTTGATTAAATTTATCCTTTTTTAAAAAATTTCTAAAATCACATTATTATACCTAATATAGGTGGTTACCATATGCAATTTAATCATTAGTTCCTAAGATGTATATGACCAATGCAATTTTTTTCAAAAAAACTCAACTGCCGGAGAATTTGGTTGTGAAATTGATGATTTATGATCTTCACAACGAATGCAGTATCGGTAATACGAGTTAATCATTATTTTCGTGGCCTTATCCTGAGTCGAATGACACTAAAATCATCTGATCAAAGATCATGAGTTATTAGTCGTAATACTTACTACCTTATACGTATATTTATCGGTTTGAGCTGTCCGATTTACGTACAGTACGTACGTACGTACGTGCGTACGTATGTATGTACAGTACTTATCTGTTATTATTATGTATACCTAACGAATATTATAAAAAGGTGTCATCTTTAATCATGGTTATTAATTTATTGAAACATGGCATTAATCGAACGGTCCACATTACAAAAAATTAAGGAAGTTATATCCTCCCACTTAAAAGATTATTTTTCATTTACAGCTTCCGAACTAGTAAGAAAAAATCCACCAACATGGTATTGCGAGAATAAAAAATTAGTTTATAATATGGCATGTCCAAATGGGGCTGATTCATTTCATGGAACTTTGAAGTATACACAATGGACACAGTTTGACTTACCAAAAAGTTTTAATGTTGAAGAAAGGAATGGGATTGGAGGTGGAAGAAAAGGAAAATTAGAGATTGAAGTATTAAATGATGTATTTGATTATTCTCCACCTGATGACGATAATACTGTAGTTTGGTATATTAATTTTGCAGATTTGTACGTATGCTCAATTTTATAAAAATAATTTTATAGATATTTATGAAATGGTCTAATTAAATAGTTTTTTTATTTCGTTATACGTAATAATCTCGAAATTTAAAATTTCGTTATACGTAATAATCTCGAAATTTAAAATTTCGTTATACGTAATAATCTCGAAATTTAAAATTTTGTTAGACCTTTTTGTAAACGTTAATTACCTAATGTGGCGGCTGAAGCTGAGATTGGGATCTCTATTTAAATTTATAATACCTACTAAAATTCACTTGCATTCTTTTATTAATAAAACTACTCCTATACTCTAACCTAACTCTAAAAAAAAAAAGGTCCCAAAAATTTTTAAAATTTATATTAAAATAAAACCTAAGCTTCAGCCGATCTCAGCTTCAGCTGCCACAATTAATAATAAAGAAAAAAAATAAATAACATAATTTTTGATTTTAGAAATCTGTTTGGATATTATGGTGGATCTCTTTTCGCACAAGATGAAATGCAATGTCTTGAGCATCCAGCTCTTTGCTCACTTCGTGATAAGCTTTGTACCATGCAAGATGGGTCACAAGCAAAAACCAAAATGTTTACATCCGGAAAATCTATTGCGACTCCTGTATTAATTCGTGGTGTAGAACGTCGTGCCTTCGTCAAAACTGATTTTAATGAAGCTGAAGGTAGACCTTATGGTCTTTATGGGAATCAATTTGCAATAGCTGAAAAAAGTGCTGTAAAGTTGGCTACCACTGTTTTTGATGAAAGATTGGACAGTAGAGGTAAACCTTATTATTCAAATATTATTGCTATGGAGGCTCCAAAATATGGAAATGGAAGTTATACTAATAGTACTATTAGAACGATTCTTGAAACAGCCTATAGTGGGTTTTTGGCAGCTAGATTTGAAAGTTTAGTAGAAACCGGTGTGTTGGAAAGGAGGTATAAAAATGAAGAACATACGGTTATTCCCGAAAAAGAAGATACAATCGTACCTAGAGTTATTATTAATACAGGCAATTGGGGATGTGGTGCTTATGGAGGAAATATTTCAATCATGGCATGTTTACAATTCGCAGCTGCCCATTTGGCTGGTATTGATAAAGTGGTTTATCATGCCGTAGATAATAGATCTCGAAATGAGGTTGATATTGGATTAGAAACTTATAGAGAATTGATAATGGATGTAGATGGGATGATTAAAGTTGATGACTTTATTACTAAACTTGCAAGAAAAAATTTTCAATGGGGCTTCAGCAATGGTACTTAACATGTAATTTTTATTTAATTTTTAATATCTATTTGTAAATTCAAAGTGTGCTGTTTGTTATCTGTTACATAATGCCACATTTAAAATTACTGTTACTGCGTTATAAATGTTAAAATCTTCGTGATAAGTTTTATATAATACGCGTTTTAATGGAGGCACTTAATACTGCCTCCTATCATTTTCCCGACAAGTTAGCCGAAAATGGCTCAAATCACATGCAAAGATATAAATGGTTCAAGATGGGTCTCTAAGAATATCCACAATTCAATGTGGGCTCCAGAAAACAGGCCAAAGGTGATTCTATAAGAAAAAATTGACTTATACTTTTTCAAAATCAAAGCAATTAAAATCTACAAACCAGAATGCAAGATAACTTGTGGGATTTATCATTTGATACATGGTTTGGCAAAGTTAAAGATGTTTAAACTTTAATAATAAAGCCTAAGTTTTTAAATAGTAAGATGTTTGGCAAGAGACTAAGAGATCCAAGATAGCCTATATATTGTTATATGCAAGTAGTGTTCGAAAAACTCAGCATGGATCGGATTCGGATTTGTGCGGATCCAAACCGTCGGATTAGATTTGTCCCCTGAAACGTCAGATTGGGCCCGGATTGAGCAGGATTGGGCCTAATTTTAGGTCATGTCTTTATATAATCACTTTATAGGATAAATTCGAATTTGTCATGTGATAAATTCAAATGTATCACACCTTGTGCCACAAAATAAGTGATAAATTCGCATTTGTCACATGATAAATTTGAATTTATCACTTATATTGTGACAAATATATGTGACAAACCATTAGATTGGCACAGATCACTCCCAGATTTAATCTGAATTATGGATTCAGATCAGATTTGGATCAATCCTGGATTAACCGGGATTTTTAATCCATTTTCGAACACTACATGCAAGAAAAATTCAAGGTCTTATAAAAAGTTAAATAATTTATTTTGAAGAAGAAAATATATAAGTTATTTTAAAAAACACAATTAGAAAAAAAAAATATATAGTTGAACTACAAGATTTTTTATAATTATTATTTCTAAGATAATTAAAGCTAATTAGAATTAAAACAATATTATACTAGTATATTTTAATAAAGAAGATATTTTAAAAAAAATACAAAAAAATAAATATATTACTAATATAAAAAATTTATATAGATTATTTATAAAAAAAACAAAAAAGAAAAATTGATCTATACAAAGATAATAGTTTAAAATACAAAAAAAATCTTTTAAGATTTTAATTTAAATAAAAAAAGTAATATTAATTATCAAATACAAAGAAAAAAGAGTAAAATATATTTAATATTTAAGAACAATAAAAAATTTTATAAGTAGAAAAATAATAACAACTTAAGCTTAATAAACAAAATTGATTAATACAGTACTAATTATTTTATAGAAAAAACTAAACAAATTAAGAAAAAAATATTATTTGTTTGATATTTTTTTTGCTTTAGCAATTTTTTTTATTTTAATTAAAATAAAATTGTATAATAAAGGCTAATTTACTTTACAAACTATTTGATACCCAATATTAATAAAGAATTATTTAATACTAAAACACAATAAAAATATATTTTATTATTTGCACTCAAGTATAATCTGCCTAAGTAGTTTATACAGGTTTTGGCTACCAATTTTGGACAAATTAACAATCAAATTTAAACATAAAAACAATCAAATTTGAATATAATAACAATCAATTTGGAATATAATAGTTATCAAATTTGAACATAATAATAATCAAATTAAATATAATTAAATCATAATATTTTATTATATATATAGTAATTAGAATTATTTAATTGTAGTATTATTAAATTTATATTAATATAATAAATTTAATAATACTAAAATTAAATAATTCTAGTTATTATATAATAAAATATTAAGATTTAATTATATTCAATTTGATTGTTATTATGTTTAATTTTGATTGCTTTAATGTTCAAATTTAATTGCTTTAATGTTCAAATTTGATTATTTTATGTTTAAATTTAATTGTAATTTGTTCAAAATTGGTGGCCAAAACCTGTAATTTACTAAGAATTTAAGTTTCAGAAGTTTATAGTAGATGGTTACTAACCTTGTTAAAATTATTGCTCTATATAAAATATTACCAATCTGATAAAATATTTATTAGTAAAATTTTAAATACCAAAGTAGAATAAGAAGAAATATAAGAAGTAAGATATTTAAAAAAAATAAATAAGAAGATAACTAAACTAAAATAAAAATTTAAAGTATAAATATAAAACTAAAGAATTTATCTACTAAATTGGTATCTGCTAGTTAGAATACTTTCTATATTATTATAGCATTTATATAGAACTTAATTAATATAAAAATAAACCAAATAAACTTTAGACTATTATTGATATTAGAGAAAAAGGTATTTGAAGAATAACTCTACAACTATCTGTCTAATCAAAATAAAACTACAACTATTCAAATTTAGACAAACCTAAAGATAGTGAGATTATCCAAATCTAATTATAGAAAACCGAGATATCATTGAATATGTGATTTACTCAAGTGATTTATATGTAGATCACATATGTCACAATCTGATTGGCTGATAATCTACTGTACAAAATATTTTACATGTAGTATATCTATTATATGTCATATTTGTAGTATTTATATTACTTATTTTATATATTATATATATTATTTGTATTATATGTAGTATCTGTATTATATATTATATATCTTATTAGTACTATTTATAATATTTGTAGTATAGGTACTAGATAAAGACTGTTACATTTCTAAAAAATTAAAAAATATATCAAATTTTGATTTTTATCATGAAATATAGATTTTTTTAATTTACTAGTGTATATTGTAGTTGAATTATAATATTTAGTATGTTGAATTTTTAATTTTTATTAAATTGTGATATTGAATTTTATAATTTAAGTTATATGATAATTGTCAAATTTGTTAATTTTGAAATTATTAAATTTTGATGTTTTATATATAGCTTTTTTTAATTTGCTAAGGATTGAGGCATATATTAGTAATCAAATTATGGCATTTAATATATCGAATTTTTTGATTTTTACTATGTAATAATTGTTGAATTGTAGTGTTGATTTTATAATTTATCATGTGATAGTTGTCGAATTTATTAATTTTAAAATTGTTAAATTTTGATATTTTATATATAGACTTTTTTTAATTTACCAATAGTTGAAATATATATTGGAGGTTGAATTGTGGTATTTAATATGTCAAATTTTAATTTTTACTATATAATAATTGTTGAATTGTGATGTTGAATTTATAATTTGTATCATGTATAGTTGTCAAATTTATTAATTTCAAAATTGTTGAATTTTGATATTTTATATATAGACTTTTTTTTAATTTGCCAATAGTTAAGGCATATATTGGTGTGGTGGTCAAATTGTGATATTTAATATGTTAAATTTTTAATTTTTACTATATAATAATTATTGAATTGTAATATCAAATTTATAATTGTTTCATGTGATAGTTGTCAAATTTATTAATTTTAAAATTGTTAAATTTTGATAGAGTGTTGCTAATTTTCACCCCAGGTGATGTCATCTGATTGTGTAAAAGCCAATCAGCTCTTCAGATCTTGTATAACCAAAACAATGAAGAAAAAGAAAAATCAAAGAAAAGCTTTAATAACTCAAAATTTTGTTATAAAAATCATACTTCAACTTCTAAGCAAAAGTTTTTAGTACTAAATTTTACATATACTTAAGCCTCTTACTCCAACCCAAGGCTAATCCTAACCTCTAACTATAATTATTTTCTTTTAATAAAAATTTTATAATATCAGGTGATATCACTACAGGTGAAAATTAGTTATAACTATTTTGATATTTTATATATAGGCTTTTTTTATATTAGTAGTCGAATTATAGTATTTAATATATTAAATTTTTTTTTTTTTTTTTTTTTTTTTTTTTTTTTTTTTTATTTTGATGTTTTTTTTTTTATTTTTTTTTATTTTTTATTTATGTTTTT